TAGAAATTCCATAAGATCTAGATCTTCGAGGAACCTGTTAACATTTTATAGGAATTGTAAAGTTTTCGGTAAATATATAAATAAAATATTGTTTTTAAAGTTTACGCCACGACTAAAAATATCATTTTTTTTTTTTTGTACGTAGATAAATTGGACGAAGGACACCTGTACTGGTTGAGAACGTTTCTTCGCGATCTCGGAGGATGGCCTTTGATCGAAGAACAATGGGACGGACTCTATTTTGATTGGATTTACTCTATAGGAAAAGCTGCCAACATGGCCGGAATCAGTTTATTTATTTCTGTTTCGACTCAATTGGACGACAACAATAGTCAAAAAAACATCCTAAAGGTAAGATTAAAAAAAAACTGGCAAGGGCGCGACTTTTCCGGCACTCGAACAGGCCATTAGGAAGTCCGATAATTTTCAGTTATGGTCTACTATGATATAAAATTTAATTAATAACAAAAACTTATGATAAAAATAACACTATGACACTAGCTGAAAGTTAAAATTTTATGTGGATCCATCCGTTAGGATATATTATTAAAAATAACTTTTATATTATTAATCATTACAAAATGGTAAAAAAGGTTTAATTTTGAAGGTAGAGAAGAGTTTTTAAAAAATATTTTAAATGTCAATAACGAGTAAAAGTCGCACACTAAGTCCACTCTAGATACGACACATGACTCCCTCGTCTATCTTCCCACTCCCTTGCTTTCTGTTTTCCAAAATTTAATAGCATAAATACCCCTTATATATAAGTTATCGTGCTAAATTTCGTTTCTTAATCTTTATCCCATCCTAAAAAATTAAATGACATACGCCAACACACATATACATATATACATTAGCTTTTTGGATTCAGAGGTCTCAGAACATGGAGATTTCAGAAATCCGGAGGGTCAAATGTGACACGATTACAATACAGTAGCCCCTAGTTATATCGGGAGACTAAGAAAAAGGGAGATATATCCGAATCCACGATATAACGAAGGCCTACTAATGTATTATGTTATAAAAGCCAGAAAGGTAAAAATTATTATCTTATTGTTGTATAATTTACGTTCCTCTTTCCTAATCAGATAAAGAAACCCGAAAATTCCATCGATATATCTTCTATCAATTACCTTAAAGCCGTGAAAGAACTAGCCATTGGTGTTGGTGCTAAGGACAACATCCAACTACAAACCCAGATAAGACGTATTAAACTTCTGGATAGAATAATTAATTATGTGAGATTAAATATTTAAATTCTATTCATTTTAATAATAATTTTTATTATGATTTATATCTTATATTTATCGTTTTGATTAGCCAAAAACGGATAATCAAAGCGAAAAGTTAACATTAAGAGAATTACACAGTTTATTACCTTCGGTAAGTTGTTTAAAATTATTACTTTAAATGAAACTTATAAATGTAAATAAAGAGTTAATGCTTTATAGATCAATTGGATAAAACTGATACACGTTATCACTAATTCCACTTTTAAATATTCAAATATTTCGATAAATGATGACGAGATTGTTATGTTAGAAGATAAAGAATATTTTATTAATATGAACGAAATACTTCTCAATAGAACTTTTAGTAAGCGGTAAGTAAGAAAATCTAGTTTAATTCTTAAATAATAGAGAGGTTGCGGCCGAAGTTTTCATCTCTCAAACGTGAACGTCGAACGTCGAGCGCCGCTTACAAGATTGCGGCGCTCGACGTTCGGCGTTCACGTTTGAGAGATGAAAACTTCGGCCGCAACCTCTCTNAACTGAAGAGGCGACTGAGAATTATTGGAAAAACGATAAGTCCGATCATTCACCGTCTAAATTTAGGTAATTTCTATAATAATAATTTGAAATAATAATATATAGTATTTATATAATTCAATACATGTTAAATTGATATTATTTTTACTAAACATGATTACAGAATTTTAGGAACTGTAACTAATATGAAGGAATTCTCTAAAGCTTTTAAATGCAAGAAAGGGAGTAAAATGAATCGCAGTAAGAAGTGCAACATATTGCAATGAAAATGTGAATAATAATTAACTAAAACTTATAGTAATTATCCACTTATCCAAAGTAAGTTATAAAAAAATATGTCATTTTTTGTTTACTAAAAGGTTCCATTTAATTAATAATAATCTGAATTTAGTTTGATGAATTTTGCCGCTGTTGGGACAATTTTTGGAAACAAATTTATTAAAGAATTTTTTAAATTTAGTAAGTATTTAGTTAAATGTAAATTACTGTTTGGAATACGTAATGTTGCGGCCGACGTTTTCAGCGCGAAAACGTGTACGTCGGATGTTCAGCGCCGCCTTCCTGTAAGTCTAGAAGTTTGATAATGGCGTTTGGAACGTCGAGCAGGTTCCAAACGCCATTATCAAACTTCTAGACTTACAGGAAGGCGGCGCTGAACGTCCGACGTACACGTTTTCGCGTTGAAAACTTAAGCCTCAACCTCTCTAATATTTACATTATTTTTCATTCTTACTTACTGTAAAATAATAATAATAAATCAATTGAAAAAAATAACAATTGCTATTAAGTTTTTCATATTTACAGTATATAATAATTCGCTACTTCATATTAAAAAAATAATGATAAATTACGTAATACGTTTTTTTAATGCTTCAAATTTTAATAATAGCAAAAAGCCTGCTTTATCTCAATTCAATTTAATTACAGTAATTTTTTTTCTGGTCAACCGAATCCATAGTCAGAAAACACAGGTAAATCCTTCTACTATTGGTGCTCACTAATGAGTGGATAAAACTACTAAACAGAGGTGTGTTTGCGCCTCGCCAATGGGGTTTTCTGGGAATTTCTTTATGAATATAACACTTAAAATAGGCCAGTTTCCATAAAAAGTTTTCTCGGGAGGTACCCATCTTATTGCAGATTGTCCATGTATTTCAATTGTCTTCGGTGGCCAAGCGCCCAAGAGGCTTTTTGAGGGTTAAGTCTATACTTCTTAAATGTTAAACTTTATCACCAAATTGAACATTTTAATTAGAAAATTCTCAAATTGTTGGTTTAAAACTCTTCCGATCAATACATGGAGCGCGTAAGAAATGCGAGGCCAAACTTACATCTTGTACACAGATTGGGAAAAGGGGTAGAGTAATATTCTGTTAGCTTCGTCTGTTAATGAAATTTTATATGTTCGTTTAGCTGAGGCATGTAGCATTGTTAGAATCACTGTAATGTTCTAGACGAAGTGTTAATTCTACACTCTTAATTCTCTTCAATTGAAGGATTTACTGGTTTGTCTGACAATGTACTTGAGAAGATTAAAAAAAACTGTAAAGTGATAAAGCAGATTTTCGTTGTTATTTTTAAAGAAGTTGGATTTGTTTTTTTATTAAAATTTTAATGTTTAAATATTTCTCTCAATTTATGTTTTAAAGATATCAACAAAACTGCGAGTGATAGTAATGAAAACAAAATGGAAAATAAGGAAAAAGTGAAAGAATTTTCTAATGAATACATGGTAATATTTAAAATAAAATATATATTTAAACACACTTTATTCAAAATTATATTTTGAATGTTTACAATTGCTATAATATATTCTTTTGAAGCTAAGCACAAGCTATCATTTTCCAGAATTTTTTAATGATAATTCAAGAGGAATTAGATTAGCATTTTTGGTTAGTAAAATTTATTTTTTCTTATCAAAAGTATTTTAAAATTCAATTTTTTTTCATTATTTTATTTTATATATTCAAGGCATATAAATTATGGGAGCTTGAACATGGCAAAGAAAAGAAATTACCTGGTATCAATTATTCTAGGGAACAATTATTTTTTATTTTCCATCAATTGGTAATTGATATTTAAACTTTTAAAATATTTATTTTAATCATCACAATGAAAATAATAATAGAAAATTTTAAATATATTTAGATGTGGTGCAGTTCAGAACAATATTCAAGGTAAATTTAAACAGTTTTTAAAGAAAAATATGTTAAATTATACACGATTTTTATGTTTGTACTTGCTTATTTTTTTAAGGTTTAATCATCGAGATGTGAATATAATGAAAGAATTTTTGAATACTTTCCATTGTAAAATTTAAAATTTGTATAAAAGTAATAACAATTGTTAATTGAAATTTTAAATTTATGTATTTAATAATAGATTTTTGTAATGAACAATAAATATATAATTAAAATCGCCTCTGAAGTTGTATTTTGTTGAATACGTGCAAATAAGAAGGAAATGGCTATCAGCGTGGATTACAAGGTAAATGTAAATAAGCTTGAAGAGCCTGAAGATTGGGAAAAATTATATAATAAATATAAGAATAATTTATATGAAAAATTTTAAAAGATCAATTATAGAACAATATGCCAAAGAGGATGTTATGTAAGAAAAAAATGCCTTAATTTTGTCAAAGGATATCCTTTTTTTATACAGGAAATTCTTCTTTTTTCTAAAAAAATATACGATTATAAATCTTGATAAAGCATTTGAATTTCATACACAAAAAAAAATGGAATTTTTAAAATTATTTTTATGTTAAACAGTACATAAAAGTAATTAAATATGTATGCAAGTATGTATGCATATAATACTATATACTATTTGAATCATATCAAAGTATGCAATATATATTATGTAATTATAAATAAACACGATATATTGAATACTTTTAACATAATTCTGAAGTATATTTAGATTTCATTATAAGAATTTATTAATATTAAATTAATTAATCGTCAACATTATTAATACAACACATAAAACAATGCTAAATGAATTACTTATTTTCGTATTTAAATTAATATAAAATAGTACTTTAACTTTATTTATTATTAATAAATTTACGAAAAAATTCAAAGAATAAAATTAGATGAACCTTTTTCAGAATTGAGGATTTCCTCTGATGAAGATATAATTTTATCTATATTACACACGAAACGTTTACTTAAATTAGGTAAGGTTTTGTATTTGAGAAGCATTATTTTATTGTATAAATATTGCAATTTAAATTATATTAATTATTAATTTTTTAATATTACATTAAAATAAATATATAAATAGATTTTACTTAATATTTCAGAAAGATGAATTGTTTTATGTGGTTACTGTTAATAGTTTTATTACGTGAAGCAAATCAAGGTAAGAGAATTTAAAAGTATATTTTAAAAGGGTGATTGATATGTAATTAAATGAAATTATTATAGCGAAAGATGAAAACAATACTTCTAAGAAGAAAATATGCGAAACGGAAGCTTGCAAACTCTCTGGTCGGTAATTTTTATAATGTTTTCATTGAATTTGTATTAATTATATCTTCATATTTGATATTATTTTATGGTTTTAATCAAACAGCTACTGTTATTTTGAAATCTATGAATAAATCAGTTGATCCTTGTGAAGATTTTTATTCTTTTTCATGCGATGGTTGGATGAAAAGGAAGCATTTAGATGACAATGTAATTAAATCAAACCGCATGGAAATTATGCTGGATATAATAAGTAATTATTGCATTAAATAACATAAGAATTTTATTACTTTTTAATTTTCTGTACCGTTACACCATCGATTTTCTTTTAGTTTGGACAGAATTATGAAAGAATAATTATATTTTCCGCTACTGTCAGATAACAAGAGTAGTTAATTCAATGGCAATAGATGAGGTAACGTTTAGTGCTCGTTCACTCACTGCAGTTGTATAAAGCGTAAACATCAGTCAATACTGGAAAAGCGTAATGTAGAACAATTGAACAGTGTGACTTCGCTCTGTGTGACATTTAATATTGTTTATGTCGTAAGCAATTTGTTTGTACATTGTTTATGATATAAAGAAACAATGAAGCAAAACGTAAGTGGTGAAAGATGTACTGTTGAGTTATTAATATAGTTGATCAGGCAAAGCTTGTGAACCGAAGATACGGAAAATTGGTGGTGTACAATATTTACAAATTTCGTTATTTCTAAAATATTGTTATTATTTATGAAAAAGTTTGTTTACTTTAAGTAAAGATGTTTGCAAACTTATAATTTTTCTATTTAGAGATATTAGAAGAAGCTCCAGAAAAATCTCTAACAAAAATAGAACGTAAAATTATTAAGATATATGATACATGCAAAGCTTACGGTAAGTCACTTAGTTTTTTTTTATTTAAATAATGTATTTACTCATATTTTAAGCATTAAATTTTTTAAATAGTTCATTGTTTCTTGAAATCCGTCAATTTTTATGGAATTTTCGTAATTGAATTTATACTTCGATTTATTTTGTTAGAGACTTTTGACAATGATACGATAAAATGGTTTGAGGATCTGTTCGAGAAAATTGGAGGCTTTCCTATGTTAAATCCCGAATGGAACGAAGACGATTACGATTGGATAGAAGCACTCTCTCAACTTTCTCTTATAGTACATTTAGAACCACTGATACAGGTACAATCGACAATCGACCACAGAAATCCTTCAAGAAATATTATAATGGTATTATATTATGAGTAACTTAATTGAATAAAGATAAATTAAAAATTTAACATAACTTAATAAGAATAAATATGTAAATTATTGAAACAGATAAGTCAACCCTCAAGAGGAGAAGCTGTGAATATAAGAAAAGTATTATTATATCCATTTTATTTTG